GGGAGAGATTGGATACCGTACGGGTGGCTTTGACTGGCGAAACGCCGGGGGGGCCTCGTCGTTGTGCTGGGGTCGTCCGGGTTGCGAGGTCGTTCACGGAGCCGAATGCGAAGACGTCACGGAGCCGAATGTCGACGTCACGGAGCCGAATGCGAGACGTCACGGAGCCGAAATGCGAGGTCGGACGTCACGGAGCCGAAATGCGAGGTCGACGTCACGAGCGAAGCGAGGTCGACGTCACGGAGCCGAATGCGAGGTCGACGTCACGGAGCCGAATGCGAGCGAGGTCGACGTCACGGAGCCGAATGCGAGGTCGACGTCACGGAGCCGAATGCGAGGTCGAGCCACGGAAGCGGAGGTCGACGCCACGGAGCCGAATGCGAGGTCGACGTCACGGAGCCGAATGCGAGGAGGTCGACGTCACGGAGCCGAAGCGAGGTCGACGTCACGGAGCCGAATGCGAGGTCGACGTCACGGAGCGAAGCGAGGTCGGACGTCACGAGCCGAATGCGAGCGAGGTCGACGTCACGGAGCCGAATGCGAGGTCGACGTCACGGAGCCGAATGCGAGGTCGACGTCACGGAGCCGAATGCGATCGACGTCACGGAGCCGAATGCGAGGTCGACGTCACGAGCGAATGCGAGGGAGGTCGACGTCACGGAGCCGAATGCGAGGATCGACGTCACGGAGCCGAAGCGAGCGAGGTCGACGTCACGGAGCCGAAGCGAGGTCGACGTCACGGAGCCGAGCGAGCGACGACGTCACGAGCGAATGCGAGGTCGACGTCACGGAGCCGCTGAATAATAATGGCGCCCTCTCTTGGAGTGACAATCGCCGGCGCTTGCTCTCTCTCGTCTCGCGGTGACAGGGGAGGGGTGTGGGCCGGGGGGGGGGGGGGGGGAGGGGAGTGAGGATGGGGATGAGGACTCTCGCTTCCCCCCCCCCCCTCTGGCCTCCTTCTTCTTGTTCGCTCTATCTTTATTCCCCCCTTCGTATCCTCCCCCCACCCCTCCTTTCCGCCTTCCCCCTTCCTCCTTCCCCTCCCTTCATCTTCCTTCCTTCTTTCTCCTTCCACCTCCTTCGTCTTCCTTTCCTCCACCCTTCAACTTTTCCCTTTTCCCTCCTTCCTCATCAATTCATCTTCCTTTTCCTCCTTTTTTCCTTCCCCTT